TCCCCTCTCTCTCTCTCTGTTTTATACCTTTTAAGATTATTCCCGGAAATTAATTTTTATTTCGTTACATGACCCGGAAATTGATCGGAAAAAAATTGCCGCTCTTTTTTACCTTGATATAGTCTCTCGATAGTTGTGAGAACGTTCGACCGACGACAACGAATTGTAAAAGAATGTGAATTTAGGGGCGAGGAAGGAAAGGTGTGCCGCGGTTGTCGACAGGTCAGTTCGGATTACACTGGCGGAAACAAATGAGTCTACCGAGCGCGAAGGAGCTATGGTGAAGACCTTACAAGAAGATAAATGAACCGGCTCTCGGAGTACACGCGCTTCGAATTCAATTTCCATCTAATGACGGGACGATAGGAAAGTTAAAGTAAGATAAGTAAGATCCTTCGAAACGACAATTCGAAAGTCTATCTATTTCAATTTATCAAAAACCATTATATCCCCATGTTATATAAATAACATAAAGGTTCACTGTTTTGCAAGATTATAATGACGCGTCGTTCGGAAACTTTAGAAAGAAAGATTAAGAAACTAATTAAATTTAGAATCATGGAAAGTGCCGGAGGTCTCATCCGATAACAAAAAAAAAAAAAAAAAAAAAAGAAAAAAAATTCAAAATAACTTTGTTGCCCGGTATAACGCGAGAGCAGAGGAGCCCGAGACGGAGTTTGTCGCAAACCGCTAACGAGCAAGGACCCCATTTTCCCTCTTCCCTCCCCTAAGTACTCGCCTCCCTCGTCGCGCGCCGTCTCCTCGTCGTGAAGCACTCCCGGCTTATATAAGTCTTATAAAGAGCAAAGAGCGGCGGGACCACACACATCCGATCCTATCTGCGGGCTTTTCTGTGCGCTTCGCCCTCCTCTCCCTCCTTTCCCTTTCCTTCCTGCCTTCCTTCCTTTCTGCTACGCTGGACTGACTCTCCGTTTGTTCTACCTCTTACAACACGACTCGCCCCCTAAACCGATCCCGCTCTCCGTACGTCTGGCAAATTATACGCGATCGTGACAAGGGCCGCCGCGGATGCTCGCTCTCTCGATGTTATCCGTGAATGTATTTGGGGTACACTTTGTCTTAATCTCGACGTAGGAGTCATCGACGTAAAAAAAAAATAAGATTCATTAAAAGAAAAAACGCTCGAATGCATCAATTGAATGATCTCGTTATCGCGATATTAAAACAGAAAAAAAACATTGGTCAATAGTTGAAGTGTAAAAAACTTACCCCATTCTGCATCATTCGATGGAGACATCCGATGGCCGAAAACAGAAAAAAAAATATGAAAGATTAAGTTGATTTTTGATCTTGTATCATTAATGAACCAATAATGTAAGATCGAGTAATCGCATCAATATTTTACATGTAATATTATTGTTCTTATAGTGTGTTAATATTTAAACGTGCACTAAATGAACGTTTTATTTAGTAATCTCAGAGAAGGGACTACTCACCGTAGTCTCATTGACGCTCTTGATGCAGTCTCTGTAGGTGCCCGCTATTAATTTAACGATGTTCTCGTCGCCGTGTTTGGCGCCCCAATGTAAAGCCGTCTGCAACACGCACGAGGAAAGGCGGGGTGATAATTCGTTCGTCGGTCGTTTAAATCGTGCGGCGGGACAGCGGCACGGGATTACCATCGTGCGAGTAATGCGAGACCACGAGAAAATCGCGCGATGGGAACGTGATAAGTAAAAATGTATCAGCGCCGAGATTTATGTGCTGAGCGCGGACTTTTCGGCGGAAGGGGAGGGGAGGGGTGCCGAAGGTGGTCCCGATTGTAGACACGACGCGAGCAGCTGTAGCGTATTTTCGGGATGACGCGCCGGTGAAATATTCGCGAATTAAGCGACAGCAACGGCCGAGTGTCAACCGGGACGAGCGGGATGAATGGGAATCGTCGCCCGTGCCGGAGCGTACTCGAGAGAGGAAGATCTCGACTGGCAGTCGATTACAGCCGGAGTGCCGAGGAGTTAGTGCGGCTCGAGGAAACCCGGAGAGAGAGCAAATAGAGCGAGTTGAGTTACTTCCACTTAAGCGCTTCGGTGAATCGAAGAGAGAGAGAGAGAGAGAGAGAGAGAGAGAGAGAGAGAGAGAGAGAAACAGGAATTATCGGTTCGATCGCAGTGAGAAAGTGGCAAGTATTTTCCGAAATAAATATTATCAAGGTGCAAATTATTCGAATAAGAGAGAGCGAGAGGATACATCGTTAACGTGGCTCGGAGTAAAGGATAATGAACGTCCAGGAAATTCGGAATGTATTACATCGTAAATATGTAGACAAGCTCGGAAATGTGCACAGCGGAAATTTTTTGGATAATAACTAATTGTCATATTTCTAACGAGCTTCTTACAGCTTCGAAATTATTTTCTCGAAAATGTATAATTCCGCTTGTAAAACGCGATTAATAACACCGCTAAGAGCCTCGCGACATCTTATTTCCATTATTCCAACGGTGTTCAATCGTACATTAGCTTGTTGAATATGTACTCGGCCATATATACTCAAGTCCGGCGGCCAAAATTAACGTCCCAAATTAATCACCGAACCGTCGCGCGATGTCAACTATTAACGCGACATTCTCGCGAGCCTCGATCTAGGGGAGAGACGCCCTAAAAGGGGTACACGTTTTTCATGTAGATGCGGCAGGGTAAGCAAGCTTTCGTAGCGAGACATGCGTTTTAATTCCATTCGAGTCCGCGTCCCGCGGGTAGATTAAAAATAGTGTCTCCGGATTCACATGGGGGTCGTCATAGAAGCTGCCCTCGACCTGAAGCCGGCTGCCACGTACCCGCCGGCTACCCTCCACTACGGCGGTGGACTGCAAGTCGCGGACCACCTCATTAGCGGACAGCGAAAAAAAAAAGCTTATTCTAACGAGGCTACGTACCTAATGACGAGAACCACGCGCAAGCTCGCTCGCTCGTTCGCCCGCCCGCACGAGCGGGTGTATGTATGAGACGATACACGTGGCGGGTCTCTATACGAGGACGTAGGTACACCTTGTGTACGACTCTTTCATTTTATATGCGCGGTCCTCGCGGTATAAATTAAGCGAGCGGTAAACGTATCGAGACGTAAATGATACCGCTCGCGCGGCATCGCATCGTCACGTGGCGCGAATGATGTCGGGATAAGTCTCTCTTATCGAATCGACGAATCGCGTGTGTCGAAAAAGCGATCGGTATCGAAGCAAAAATTTAGATTCTTCAAACAAACCAGAATTTTCTTCGCGCAGTTTTATTCTCTGTTATAGGTAACCCCTTTTTCCAGCTACGCGCTACGAACTTCGAAGAGTAGAGGGCGGGAAAGGGGACGGAATTTTACGCATATACGGATAATACGAATAATTAAGAGCGCGCTGTCGTTGTACAATTATTAAACGTACCGCGCATAGCGCGACGGCAGGTCGAGCAAAGTCATTAACCGCGAAGTGCGTGGACATGGTCCATCTAATACGTTCCGCCGGTCCGGCTGGTGAAGATGCAAGAATCCGGCTGAATTACACGAGGCCGAGGTGCAAAATGAATTTTTACGGTGGTCTCGCGAGGCCATCAGCGCTTATGTGGGTATATACTCGTGGCCGGGCTCGGGCACGGACGTCTACTTCCCCCCGGCTTCGTGCTAACGAAGTTTTATGAAGCGCGATAGCGCCATACCTACGCCGTGGACTTTGGCGCTCCTTAATTTGTGAATGCTGCTGCCGCGCGGTGTCGGCCGCGCGCCACGCCGCAAAAGAATGGTATGTCGGCCGACAACGTGATATATCTTCGGCCCTCTGCCCCGGACCTTCGGTCGGAGTATAGGTGAATACCGCGGATATACGGTAGCCTGCTTCTTTTTCCGCCGGCGTGCGGCGTGGCTTTCTTCAGAACGATCCGGACGCGTAAACCGCGCGCGTGAGAAAGCACGCGGTCCATGCAACATCGAGATCGACTTTCCAGTAACTATGTGGTAGTTCTCTTCAAAAGAAACGCAATGCTTCGAATGGTTCGATGGAAAAGTAGCCCATAATTCTAACGGGGTATTTAGAATTTTTGTCCTCCTCCCTCTCTCTCTCTCTCTCTCTGCCTCTCTTTCATTTTGGTATCAATTGTTAGTTAACATGCATATGTATTTAATTTTTGTACTAATTAGAGTCTTAATTAATGCGAGGCTGTAACCGCGTCGTAGCGCTAACGCGATTACAGATGCGAGATGACCATCGACCATGACGGTTACAGCAGTCGGAGCCGCGCGATGTGTAATGCTTGACAATGTCGCTATACTGTTCGAGGCTGCAGAACGGCCACTTTAAAAGAATCTACGATATATATAACTTTTTATTCAATCCAAAAAATTATTACACATGTCGCGCGAGTCCAGAAATAAATTTCGTCAGCAACAAAAAAAGCCTCCTCGAGAAATCCCTCTGATTATTCAAGACGCTCCGCTCAACAACGGGAGTTCCTTTCCCAACTTTCATCGGTCCTCCTCCTTTCGTCGTGGGATCCAATGTCCCACGACGTGTGCGCGCCACATGTGCGCGCAAAACTACGTATAAGCCACAGCTATATAGTTGTCTTCTCGTGGATACTGATTAAGCCGGCCTGGGGAACCGCGGGAGGCACGGGGAGGTCGAGGAGAGGAGCACAAGAGGCAGCAACAACAGCGGCAGCAACGTCAACGGCGGCGGGAGCGAGAGCGGGAGCAGAAGCAGCAACGGCAACGGCAGCAACGGCAGAAGCTACCGCGGGCTCCGCTGATGTATGCGAGCGATACAGATATCTCCGGGAAGGAATTTGCGTTGAATTAGCGTATAATCGGCGGGCCGATCTGCTCATACGGAATCCCGCGGTCCCCCGCTTACACGTGTCCCAAGAGCTGTATTCTCTGTGCGAACACAATATTTAGTGGCCGTCGTGGCGCGGTGGCGTCGCGGCCGAGAGAGTCCCTCCCGCCTCTCGCCTCGTCTCGTCTTTTCCTCTCCGGTCTTTCCGGTCTTTCTCCTCTCCCGTGGGATCCTCTTTCGCCGCCGCCGCCTGGTATGCGAAGGAGTCCTCCTTAAGCGCGCTGGCTTCCCTGGTCCAAATTTTTCCCTCTCTAAAGCTCTCGAGCCGAGTAAAGTCGAGCCGCGCAGTAGTCACCCGCTGGGAGCGGGACTTCGCGCGATTTCGTTATTAAGATAGGATTTCGTGATGCAGCTCGTCACGCCCGGGACTTCTGACACTCGTTTCTCACCGGCATTTCTGGCGGGTGTTAATAAGCCTGTGGCCTTTAAACCCGAGCTAATTGGCACGATCGTTATTACGTTGATAACACTGTCGCTATAGAATATGAAATTTATTAAATTTATATAATCGCTGTGGCGTAGATTCGATATCTCACTTGTTAATGTACTCGAAGCGAAATACGAATGCCGAAGAGATCGAGTTCTCTCAGAGAGAGAGAGAGAGAGACAGACATCCCGGCTCATCGAGCATTAATCGTTTCTACCGCAGATAATCACACGAACACGGGGATTACGAGTATTAACAGATCTCAGCCCGCGCTCCTTAACTCCATCGTCCATCTCGTGAATTTGTGCAAGAAAAGAGAGAGGAGGAGAGAAAGAGGGAACGAGATGGAGAGAGAGAGAGAGAGAGAGAGAGAGAGAGAGAGAGAGAGAGAGAAGGACAGATTCACGAAACTCTCGTGAACGTTCGCGGTGGGTCGTTCGGATTCAGCGGCGTGGCGCGATTCGATCTTTCGAAGACTGATTCTGGGAAATCGGGGGAGACGTCGGCGTCGGGCGCGTGTCTTCCGACGGGAAGAGACCACAGGGTGACGGAGGTGGAAGGAGGGAGAAAGATGGCCGGGTAACGAGCCTCCGGTCACGTGTACGGCGTCGGGCGTCGAGATGTCAGATCTATCGGCGCGTGCTCGATGGCGCGTGTCTTCGCCTGTTGATCAGTCCTGTTGCTTTTACGTGCACCTCGGCCGGGCTGTGCCCGATTGCCAGCATTAGTCATGAATTCGTGATCGCGCGACGTTCCGCGATGTGACGAGCGGAAACCTTCGTACGCCCGATGAACACGCCCGCGACGACGATCGCGCATAAAGATTCTGACGAGCAACGTCAGACAGGGAGATAACGTTAAAAAAAATAGCTATATCGAAAGAAACATTCTTTTCTTCTCCAGTCTCCGCGATTTATCTTAACGCGTTATTTAATTCGCCGTGCACGAGAAAATTTCGTCGTTCGAATCGATATTCGAGTTGTCGAATAATCTTTCGCGCTACCCGGTTATCGTCGATTCAGCCGACGCTGCGATAAAGATTCGCGCCGCGTTGAACGTAGAGAGATGTCGAGGGAGAGTGTTTTATTTCCTGCAATTGCGTCAAGGAGGTGTGTTACCCAAAGTCCCGTAAAAAGAAGAACGACCGCCGCATGGCGTGCCGGCCTGAACTTTCGCGTCTTGCGCGAAGGATACACAGGATGCAGGAGGTGTCATTAGCATAACGTGGAGAAGCCGTGGTTCGTGATTTATTCGTTATCTCCCGTTTCTTTTCGCTCGTAATTCCACCTCCACG